TTGCTTTCTGGTCTTGCCCCAGTCTTTTTGTACCTGGGAAGATCTCTATCTGCCTGAAATTTCTGAAGCAATTTTTCTCAGCTGTCCTTCTCTGCCTTCTTCTCTTGGTGGCCAAAAGTCCATGGTGCCTCATGTTGGTTTTTCTTGACTTTGCTACTCCACTCCCCTACCTTCATAGGTTGGCTGCTTTGAACTTGGTGGGGAACTCACACATCTCAGGCAGTATCTCTCTCACTTCTCCTGCCTTGCCTCCCAGCCTTTGGCACAGTGCTCCTGAGAACCTGTTGAAATCTGTGGAAGGCATTACTGGAGGGGAACAGCCTAATTCTGTGCTTGGGACTCTAATCTATAGAATGCCAGTCCATACATAATTGTTAAAATTTTTTAGAGATTCAGCTGGTTTCTCCTTATCCTCAATTATCAAATATTCTTCCTCCTCCTGACATGTTAGCACTGCAAGGGTAAGAGCAGCTGTAGGAATCTTGTGTCCTACAAATAGTTGGTCCTTTTTGGGAGTTGAATTAATTTAGGTTACTTTGCATCCTCAGGTCTCTTTGGGGTTCAGAAAAACTATTGTTAGCTTATCCAGGTTGTTTTGGCTGTTAGGGTGAGAGCCAGGATTTCTTGGAATTTTTTATATCCTAACCAGAAGCAAAACTCAACATAAAATAATTCATTATCATCACAATCCAAGTATTTTATTTTTAAATTTACTTTATCTGCTAAGGACACATCATAGATCCATTAAACCATCTCATAGCAATTTTTTTTGGTCAATAATTTATGTATTTCCAGTTTTTTACTTTATGTATATTGTTATCATATTTGGTGAATATTTCAGATTATTTTGCTCACAAAAGATTGAATACATAAATCCCCAAATGGTTTTTTGGCACACCCCTAAACAAACAAACGTACAAAATAAATAATTACATGCAAATCCAGTTGATTTGACCTTGAGAATGTAGAAATGTTGTTTTGATTTTTTGATTTAATGATTTGCTTTAAATTCTACTTCTGCTATATTAATATTGCCAATTTTTTTTTCTTTTTGCTCATGTTTCTTCTTATTTTTGGCTACCACAATCCTATTATATTTAGTATGTTTGGCCCATTTTGTTTTAGATATAACTCTTTTGTTGTTGTTGTTGTGTTTGTTTGTAGACAGAGTCTCGCTGTGTTGCCCAGGCTGGAGTGCAGTGGCATAATCTTGGCTCACTGCAACATCCACCCCCCAGGTTCAAGGGATTCTGATTCTCCTGCCTCAGCCTCCCGAATAGCTGGGATTACAGACATGTGCCACCACATCCAGCTATTTTTGTATTTTTAGTAGAGATGGGATTTCACCATGTTGACCAGGCTAGTCTTGAACTCCTGACCTCAAACAATCCACCCACCTCAGCCTCCCAAAGTGCTGGGATTATAGGTGTGAACTACCGTACCTGGCTTGTTTTAGATATAACTCTTGTAAGCAGAAAATTACTGAAGTTTGCTTTTTCATTTCAATCTGAAGCTTTGGAGAAATATAAGCCATTTATATTTATTGCTATAATTTGAAGCTTAGTATGACTTTTTACTTACATACTTATCAAATATTTATTGTATATTTTCCTTAAAGCAAAAATATGAACAAAGTAAAAGTCTTTGTCTTTTGGGAGATCACAGTCTAGTAAATGATGAGTCCACTAATAATAGCTTTATTCAGGGAAAAGGAAAGCATGATAATGA